TTTCTAGTTCAGTGTTTACCTTTTTCTTATTGATTCCATGGAAGGTTCTTACACCTTGGATTGTAATCCTAATTCATTTGTGGCTGAATATTCTGAAAACATATTCTCTCAGATTATGATAATTTTAATATCTTTCTTTATTGTATTTTTATTTAATAGAACATGAATTTTTAATGTGACCAAATATAGTAATTTTTTTATGGTTGGCACTATTTGTGCTTTTTGTGAGAAGCCCTTCCCAACCCTCAAGATCAGAAAAATATTCATTTGAAATTCTTGAAGTTATGGGGCTGGTGCTATGGCTCAGTGGGTTAACGCCCTGGCCTGAAGTGCCGGCATCCCATATGGGCCTGGTTCTAGTCCCGGCTGCTGCTCTTCCGATCCAGCTCTCTGCTATGGCCTGGGAAAGCGGTAGAAGGTGGCCCAAGTCCTTGGGCCCCTGCACTCAAGTGGGAGTCGTGGAAGAAGCTCCTGGCTCCTGGCTTTGGATCAGTGGACCTAACCCAGTTTGTATACCTTTGGGGAGTGAACCATTGCATGGTGGGAAGCGGGATGCCGCTCTCCCTCTCTGTGTAACTCTGACTTTGATGTCGTCCCCCTCAGGGTGAACAAGATGGCGCTGGCGGCCTGCGCCGTGACTCACTAGGCTAATCCTCCTCCTAGCGGCGCCAGCACACCGGGTTCTAGTCCCGGTTGGGGCGCTGGATTCTGTCCCGGTTGCCCCTCTTCCAGGCCAGCTCTCTGCTGTGGCCAGGGAGTGCAGTGGAGGATGGCCCAGGTGCTTGGGCCCTGCACCCCATGGGAGACCAGGAAAAGCACCTGGCTCCTGGCTCCTGCCATTGGATCAGCGCGGTGCGCCGGCCACAGCGCGCTGGCTGTGGCGGCCATTGGAGGGTGAACCAACGGCAAAAGGAAGACCTTTCCCTCTGTCTCTCTCTCTCACTGTCCACTCTGCCTGTCAAAAAATAAATAAAAAAAAAAAGAGAAATTCTTGAAGTTATAATCTTTGCTTTTTACTTTTAAATTCTTACTGTCCTTGGGATTAAGTTTTTTGAGGTAGAGATCTCATTATAGTTTTTCCAGATAAAATCACTATTTTCCTATAGTTTTGCATGTTGATTCTGTTATATGTGTGATAACTAAACATAGTGCCTAACACACACTAAGCATGCTATTTGTGTTTGTTTTATAAAATAATACATTATGTCCACAGAAAAAATATTTAAATTAACTAGAGATTTTTGTAAGGTGGCTGAATATAAATCAATCTACATACTCCATCCCATCTCCATGTGTGAGCAAAAGCTCGATTTCACAAAATTCAATATATCTCATTTCTTACTGTACTTACATAACAGTTCAACAAAGTCTAAACTTGGTCTCTGTACCTCGCCATCCTCTCACTCTCTCCTCCTCCTCCTCTTACTCCTTTTCATCAGTCTTTGGTTCTTCTTCCTTTTGCTTCTTCCTTATTCCCTTGGAAATTTCACTTTTTTGATTACCCAACAATGATTTTAAAAAAATGTCATTTAACCAGGCTCTATTTGCAACATAGCTTCAGTTAGATAAAAGGATGTATCTTGTCACTAACTTGAGGGTAGATGCTGTATTAGCTTGCTTTTCTTTACTTTAACTAAAATACCTGAAAAGAGCTGCCTGGAGAAACAGAGGTTTATTTCAATTTACAGTTTGGAGACAGTTCCAGACTAGGCAGCCCCATAACCTGCCATCTATAGAGGCTGGTCACAGTGGGTATGGAGGCGAAATCACATGGTGAGCCAGGAAGCAGGCAGAGAGGGAGAGAGAGAGAGAGGGAGAGAGGGAGAGAGGGAGAGAGGGAGGGAGGGAGAGAGGGAGAGAGGGAGGGAGGGAGAGAGGGAGAGAGGGAGAGAGGGAGGGAGGGAGGGAGGGAGAGAGGGAGGGAGGGAGGGAGAGAGGGAGAGGGAGAGAGGGAGAGAGGGAGGGAGGGAGAGAGGGAGGGAGAGGGAGAGAAAGAGAGAGAACCTAGAATAAATTGGAACTCAAGTATTAATCAACTCTCTTGGGAAAATCGCCCTCCAGGGGGGCACACCCGCCATGACCCAAAGACCTGCCACTGGACCCACCTCCTAGCTGCCACATGGGATCAAATCTCCACCCTTAATCCATCAACCATAATATTAAGACATTAGAGTTGGGGCCGGCACTGTGGCCTAGCAGGTGAAGCCTGCCTGTAGTTCTGGCATTCTGTAGGAGCACCAGCTTGCTTGAGTCTCAGCTGCTCCACTTCCAGTCCAGCTCTCTGCTATGGCCTGGCGAAGCACAGAAGATGGCCCAAGTCCTTGGGCCTCTGCACCCATGTAGGGGACCTGGGAGAAGCTCCAGGCCCCTGGCTTCGGATCAGCCCAGCTCCGGCCATTGCGGCCATTTGGGGAATGAACTAGCGGATTTGAAGACCTCTTTTTCTCTCTTTGTCTCTGCCTCTGTAACTCTACCTTTCAAATAAAGAGATACATCTTAAAAAAAAAAAAAAGACATTAGAGTTTTAACATCTTCACCGGCGCTGTGGCTAAGCCTTTGCCTGCTATGCCGGCATCCCATATGGGCACTAGTTCTAGTCCTGGCTGTTCTTCTTCCAATCCAGCTCTCTGCTATGGCCTGGAAAAGCAGTGGAAGCTGGCCCAAGTGCCTGAAGAAGCCCTGACTTCTGGCTTCAGATCAGCCCAGCTCTGGCTGTTGTAGTCATTTGGGGAGTGAACCAATCTATGTCTTTTCCTCTCTGTCTACAACTCTGCCTCTCAAATAAATAAATCAATAAAACAAAAATATACTTTGAAAATAATAAAACAAAAGAATAAAAATATCTAAATTCTGCATGAGTTTTGGGGAGACAAATGCCAACAGTAGAATTTCCAAATCACTTTCATTTGAAAAAGAATATGCCAGTTTTCTCCCATGGTGATTAAGCCAGCTCTTACTCTGTCAAAAATACATGAAACAATGATTTTCTTGAAAATTTGCTAACACTGTATGTTACCAAATTGATTTGTTTTAAGCTCTAACTGGGGAAAACTATGTATCATTTCCTTGAAGTTAGCATCTTTTCTCATTTTTACTGGAAATTAGAAATTACTCTTTTGTGCCAGTGTTTTTGCTCGTTTTTTCCCCACAGGCTATTATCATTATTATTATTCAGGATATCCTTCCTTGTGTGTGTATGTGTGTGCCACCACAGTCATACCCAAATATCCTTTACAAATGCATATGAGGAAATATTTGAGATCACATAAATGGAAAAAAGTGTACTAAGTTATCCTTATGCCAGAATTTGCATTTTAACAAGCACTGGTGCTTTCGGAAGAATGTTTGTGTTCCTCCAAAATTCATGTTGAAATTTAATCTCCACTGTAATCATATTAGGAGGCGGGGCCTTTAGGGGATAATCAAGTCAGGAGGAGGACACTTCCCACTTGAATGGGACTGGGGCTCTTCTCCAGGGGGCCTCACACAGAATCTGCCCTTTCTGCCTTTGTTACATGAAGACACGGGAGGAGAGAGACCCCTGACACCAGGTGACTGGGTGTCGGTCTTGCACTTACAGGCTCCAGAGCTGTAAGAAGTAAATTTCTGTTTTGTTTTTGTTTTTGTTTTTGTTTTTCCTAAAAGAACTGTTTATTTATTTGAGAGGTAGTGTTAAAGACACATAGAGGAAGAGAGAAGTCTTCCATCCTCTGGTTCACTTCCCAAATGGAGGCAAAGGCAGGAGATGGGCCAATCCGAAGTCTCTTGCGGGTCTCCCACGCGGGTGCAGGGGCCCAAGGACTCGGGCCACCTTCCACTGCTTTCCCAGGCCATAGCAGAGAGCTGGATCAGAAGTGGAGCAGCCGGGGCTCGAACCGGCGTCCATATGGGATGCCAGCACTGCAGGCGGAGGCTTAGCCCACTACGGCCACAGCTCCAACCCCAAGATGTAAGTTTCAGTTCTTCATAAATTACGCAGTCCCTGTGCTGTGACAACAGCACAGACAACTGGGAACAAAAAGTGGAAAAAAACACACCAACCATTGCCTCTATATTTTTCTGTATCTTACAAGTTTTCTATAAAGGCTTTGCAAAACTTGCACACAGAAAGCGTTTCATGAAAAATAAAGTACATTTCACAGAAATAAAGTTTGCGGGTCCTTCGGTAGAGAAGCGAGAGCAGATGCACCTTAGAAGGGACTGGGGACGAGCCGGTGTTAACTGGAGGATGGGAGGGGATGGGCGGTGCCCACAGCCGGCTCCGCTGGGACAGCAGCAGTGGTGCGTGGAAGCGGCCCCGGTGGGATGCTGGACTGGGAGTCGGGCTAGCTCCTAGGACAGAGGGGGCTTTCAGTAGAGGTAGACGCCGGCAGAAGCGGGCTTCTGGGGACAGGAGGAGAGCCACGGAGGGATCGGGGTGCCGGGCGAGGCGCACACCCTCGCGCGGGTCTCCCCGCCCCAGGTCGGGCACCTGCCCAGGGCGCGGAGAGAGGCACGGCCGCCGGCGGGGCGCTGAGATCCACTCCAGCTGCCTGTGACCATCGCCGCGGGGTTCGGGCACGGGACACGGCCGTAAACCACGAAGACGGTCCCAGCGACGTGTCGGGGCGGCGAAGGGTGCAGAACACGGACGGGGAATTCTAGGGACCCGCTCGGAGGCTCCGCTCCACCGACGGCCGAGGGAAGTCATTACAAACGCCCTGAACTCCGGCGCAGGCGAAGTCCGTCTGCGTGCCGGGGTCAGTGACTTAAACGGTGCTTGGTTAGGGGGCAGAGCCGCCCTGGCAGGTTGAGCGTTTAGTGGGGTTCACAGCCGTGAGAGCTTTCCGCTGCGCCGAGCAGGGCGTGGGGGCCGGGGTCTGCGGACTCACGATGGCCCATTCTCCGCGAGGAAGACAGCCCCGAGCCGCTGCCCGCTCCGCGGAGTCGGAGGTGGGCGAGAGGCGCTGCAGCACGCGGCGGGCCCCCCGGCAGGTGAGCCGCGCCAGGCGGCGGGGGCGGCGCCTCCCGAGCGGAGCCGCCCCCGCCTCTGCCCCCTAGCTCGGCCCCTAGAAAAGGAGCGCGCCGGGGCTGCGGGAGTCCCACGCGGCGGCCTCGGCGAGCCACAGCCTCCCAGCTGCCTGCGCCCCGGTTAGGGCGAGACCGGGCCGGCCGAGCGAGGCCCGAGCGCCGTGGCGCCTTCTGCCCGCTCCGGGGCGGCTGGTGCCGAGCACCCGCGGCCGCCGCCTGCGCCTCCGGGCGGGCGCAGCGCACGGCCAGCACCGCGCCGGGACGCGCGCCCCGGACACCGACGAGAGCTCCCCGGTTCCCGCGTACTCCCTCCCCGGCCGCCAGGTGAGCCTACCCGGGCGCGGACAGTGGTCAGGCGGCTAACCTGGGCAGGAGGGGCGGGACAAGTCCCACCCCGCGCGTCCCTCTTACAACTGTCCACTGCCGGCTTGGTGCGGGCCGTCTGCGGTCTGCGACGATAAAGCGACCCGCGCCTACGGTTTAGATGGGTTTCCTTGATTTCTCTCTGACAGTAACTTTTTTGGGGGAGGTGGCTGGGTGCAGGGAAGCGCGCTGTCCTGGGTGCTGGGTCCGCCCCCGGCCGGTCCCTGCGCGCTGGGTGACGGCCGTGCCGCGCCAGCCTGGACAGCAGCTCCGTGGCCGTTCGTTAGCCGGCTCAGCGCTATCCTCCACCGGTGCGCCTTAGGTCAGCGGAGCCACGGACTGACCGGGAGTGGTCGAGATTTCGCTGACCCTAAGCGGCCCTGCGCCCCGGTTAGCCTCTCGCCTCTGTGCGTGGACCTGCAGCCAGTTCCCCCCCTCTGCCCCCCCAGCAGCGGGAGGGAAGCCGGGGCTCCCCCGGACATCGCCTTCATTGAGTACTGGTGGAAGCTGCAGCGACTCTGAAACGCAGGGAGGTCCAGTTAGCAGATCTGGGACATTTCCCCACGAGTTAGCCAAACCTCCTCAGGGTTTACCCACACAATGGGCTGGGCCGACGGGGGTCCGCAGGCTTTGAACTTTTCCGCTCTGTGAAGGGAGGCTGCTGGAGCGCCTGCCCTTTCCTTCCCTCTGAAAATGTTGTTTAAATAGACTATTGAAGACTCGAGTAACTTTGCGAGCTAAAAATGCCCTCTTTCCCCCTTGTTGCTGTGTAGCGATGGGGTCTGCCGCGAGGCGGCGGCTCTCCCTACCCCTGAGCTGCGTGCTGCTCCTCGGGCTGGCAGGCGCGGACCTTGAATTGCAGAAGGGAGTGCTGGCCGGCGTCAGCCCCGGGATGGCAGAGGACGTGGACCTCCAGTGCTGGACCGCGTGCTCGCTGACGCTGATCGATCTCAAGGAACTCAAGATAGAGCGCAGCGTGGGTGCTTTCTGGAATTTCATGTTGTTCCTGCAGAAATCCCCGCGGCCCGGACATTACAGTGTCTTCCTAAACATAGCTCAGGACTTCTGGGACATGTACATAGACTGCCTGCTTTCCAGGTCCCATGGGATGGGCAGAAGGCAGGCGACACCTCCCAAGTATAATTTTCCAGAGAAAGCAACAGGAGGTAATTTAAATGTGTACTTAAGAGGGTAGTTTCATTCACAATTCAATATTTAATCCTTTGGATTTTTCCAAGTTTATTCAACATGACAGCAACTTTCCCTGCGTGATAGGCTTTTTATTTTTACTGGTTTTATATAATTTGGAAACCATGGAAACACTGATATATAAACACTTGATTCTAAATGGTCTTGGAATATAACACATTTTGGTAATCGCAAAAGTTAATGTATTGTTTTCCCAAGAATAGTTAGTTGGAAAATACTTTAACCCTGTAGTTATTCACAGTTGTTGAAGAATGTTTAAACATCATGTACTTAGGCTTTTGAAATGATTTTTTGATAGAGTGGTAGAAAAGGGTGGAATCTTGAGTCGTAGTAGAGTAAATATGAACGACTTCTCTCTAATCTACAGGACTGAGTTTTATAAAACACGAGGTTTTTAAAAAAGTTTAAGAGGAAAAACACAGAGGATACCTCAGGCAAGAGGCTTAACCATCAGTGTTTATGAGGTCAGATACCTCCTGCAGCAGTTACCAGAATAGATTGTTATTTGTAGTTCTTTATTATTGGTCAAAGTTGTATTTTTGTTGATGTGTAATTGCTTTACTATTACTATTCCACCTTTTCAGGTTATTTGTTAACAATTTTTATTTACTTTGCAGAGTGTCTTTGTTTTAAAGAGAACACCACTTACAGTGAAAATGTGATATATTTTTACCACAGTAGTCAACTGAGCAACATTGTAACTTATTTTTATAAGGTACCTTATTCCCTCAATATTGATCATAGAAACTGTGCCAACTCTAATGCCAGTATTATCTGAAAAATACTGAATCTTGATGTAGTATACTGTGTAGGTACTGAAACGTGCATTTCATCAGCAGGCCATCTTATATATTAAAGTATTTTTCTATGCATTAAGAAGTAAAAATTTTGTGTTCTCATTTTCATTGTCTTAATTTGGAAAATAAAACAGCAAAAGGCACTAAGAAACTTTATTTTAGCGAAGTTTAATTCAATAGAATTCTTGTCCTTAGGTGTTATCTTCTTCTTTAAATATTACCTGTGTATGTCTCAAATCTTATTCCACAAAGGATGTGACGCATTAAAGAAATCTACCAAACAATGGCATAGCAGGACTCCGAAGAGGAACTGGAATGATGGGAAATGAAGACAGGAAGTGCTAACATGCAGTTGGTTTAGATTAGTGCTCTTGCGTGCATGTCACAAAAGCCTAAACCTTTGACAAATGGTACCTGTGGATTTGGTCTCAATTTCTCAGAAGTGAAGAGGGTCTCAGGATTCACATGCTAATATGAAAACCCAGGCCACAGGTTCAGGAGAAACCACCGTTTCCCAGGGCTCAGAACCCATGGGAACCTGCCCCACAGATCCTCACAATAGCTACCAGGTTACCCAAGTATCATTATAATGACAGATTTCCTTTCTATGCAAGTAGATGCAAGTATACCCAAACTCAAATATCATTCATTTTAAAAGCAGCAAAAGTCATATGACACAAATATGTTCCTGTCTGATGGTTTGACTGAATAAAGTACTTTGGAGTAAAGGAGGGGGGCATTCTTTTTTTTCTTTTTCTTTTTTTTTTTTTTAATTTATTTGACAGAGTCAGAGACAGAGAGACAAAGAAAGGTCTTCCCTCCTGAGGTTTACTCCCCAAATGGCTGCGGTGGCCGGAGCTACGCCGATCTGAAGCCAGGAGCCAGGTGCTTCCTCCTGGTCTCCCATGCGGGTACAGGTGCCCAAGCACTTGGGCCATCCTCCACTGCCTTCCCGGGCCACAGCAGAGAGCTGGACTGGAAGAGGAGCAGCCGGGACTAGAACCTGGTGCCCATATGGGATGCTGGTGCCACAGGTGGAGGATTAACCTAGTGAGCCACGGCGCAGGCCCCGGGGGCATTCTTTTGGGTTACAGACTACTTTGAAACTGTGATGAAGGTACAGACCCTTTGCTAGGGGTTTTACAAGGATTCAGGAGGGTACATGAACTCCAGGTTAATAATCCTAATGGACTTGCATGGCTCTCAGGTATTCTTTTACACACACACATATATTTTGAAAGGCAGAGTTGGAGAGACAGAGATAACTTCCATCTTCTGGTTCACTCCACAAGTGGCTGCAACACCTGGGGCTGGGCCAGGCCAAAGCCAAGAGCCTGGAGCTGGACCAGAAGCAGAGCAGCTGGGACATGAACCAATGCCCATATGAGATGCTGGTGTTGTAGGTGGAGGCTTAACCTGCTACACCACAGCACTATATAAGCAAGCTTTTCATAATAACTGGGTAGCAAATAATATGTCTGTAGGCTGAATACATTCCTAGATTGAGAATTTTTTATCTTGCCAATTGATAGCGAAGCCTTAAGGAAAACCAGCTGCAAGGTAGGGCTAATGGTCTCATGACAAGGACCAGACACTGAGGAGGGTGTCTAAAACCCTTTCCTTGCAGACGGCCTGAAGAGGTAGCCACAGGCACAGTTGGAAGCCATCATCACACTTACCCAATAATTTACTTACTGAGTACTGATTGCAATCATGAATGAGATAGGGTTTCTGTCTTATGCTTGGGAAGTTAAAGACTGGGGCAGGAGCTTATTGCCAACAGAAGGGGGCAAAGACTCATTGTTCTCAGCCATGGAGTATCTGAGGTACCTGAATGTATCTGGTGCTTTTGTGTGTGCCTCCCGTCAGTGCTTGCCCCTTACACACATCCATTCTGGTCTTGGGCCTTCAGTGAAGAAAAGGAATAAATTGCGCTTTCAGATAATACTTTGCAGGTGGCAATAAAGGAAGGGATTCGAAAGAGAACAAAGCCCATAGAAAAGCTGATGCACATTATCTACTCTTGTGAGCCACAAGGGGACTGGGGCAGGGTGAGTTGCAAGCCAAAGGTCAACTGGCTACTCAGTTCTTTGTAACAAATTTTAACTTTACTCATTTGAAAGGCAGAGGGAGAGAAGAAGGAAGGGAGGGAGGGAGAGAGACAGACAGAGAGAGAGAGACAGAATGAGAGAGAGAGAGAGAGAGAGAGAGAGAGAGGGCTCTCATCTGCTGGCTCACTCCCCAAATGCCTTCAATGGCTGGGACTGAGCCAGGGGGAAGCTGGGAACCAGGAACTCAATCCAGGTCTCTCACAGCAGTGGCAGGGACCCAACTTCTTGAGCCATCACTACTGCCTCCCGGAGTCTGTATTAGCAGGCAGCTGGAATCAGGAGCAGAGCCAGGAACAGAACCCAGGGCAGGCCAGTGTAGGAACATGGGCCAAACATCACCCCATGGCATTTCATCTGATTGTAACTGCAGTAACTTCTCCTTTCACTGAAGATGCTATTATCCGTACAGATAGGCTAGCATATAGTTGGGGAAGGTGGAGGAAAAGGAGATAGGAGAAGATGGACCCCAGGGGGTGATGGATCCCCCTCTTACCCGATAGTGAAAGTGGAATGCATGCATCTCTGCCCAACCCTGCATTCAGTTCATCACATTTGTACTTGAAATTGTAGCCAAGTATTTCCACCATGCAAGTAGGAAAACACTATAAACATGAATGCTACTCCCCACTCCATCCATGTGCTTTGGATGGGGGGAGGCTGTCTCTGGCTCCAGGAGTAGGCAGCACTCAGAGCTAGCCAGTCACAGAGAATGGGGCAGGAGTGGGCATGCGGCCGATTAGGAATCCCGAGGTGCAGAGGCAGCTGTTGGAACTGTTGAGACAGACATGCACACACACTTCTCTGCTGGGCAAAATCCTACTCACAGAGTTTCAGTCCCTTGATGCAAGAATGCCTGTAGCCCAAATCACTGCTAGGTTTGATAGGTCCAGAGCTTGCAAACTTTTTTTTTTCTTTTTGGCTTAGACTTGTTGAAGTAGTTCACATGCTGCCTGTCAACTCACATACAGAAAGATTCTCCAAAGAACAATGATATTTATTCAGGTAGGACAGAGCACTACAACTGGAATATGCATGCCATAGTAAACTTTGCGCCTGTCAAGAAGGGTAAAACAAGGGTGTTTAAAGGCAAATGGGAGAAATCTACATAAACTACTTGGACACCAAGTTCACTGACCTTGGAGACCCACAGCAGGAGGTGTGGCCTTCCTTGGGCCAGTGTTCTGTCCAGGGCATCTTGTCTGAATCGTTTCAGTCTTTAAAGAATGTTCAAGATAAACTGTTACAGAAACCTGGGCATACCTGCAGGAGAGGCATGCAATGTATGAAGTGTGTGTAGGACACGAGAATCTTTTTAGGGCCTTTGAAAAGTCACTGAGAAAGTAACTTAAATAGGCGAGCACAGGGCCTTCTCTGCCCTGCCTGAATGTGACAAGAACAGTTTCACCTTGGTATCACCAACTCCAACAAACTGAGAGTCCGCCCTAACTGACAGACCATGTTTTACAATTTCAGTTACGAGAATCAGAGAATCAGTAGTTTTTCTAAAGAAACTGATGATAATATTGTACTGTAAAAATAAATTATTTCTTACTTTGATTTTTAATAGTATTTCACTAAAATTGTTACTCTAAAATATTTGCTTTGCCTTTACATATAAAGGTATGTCTAACTAAAACTTGTAAGCAGAATTTATCCCAGCGTCCCCCGAGGGCATCAGGTGGGAACACTCTTCTTGGGCTCATCCGTAGTCTTCACTGCTTTCACCCTCTGCAAGGCGCCCCCTCGAACAGGCAGCCTTTTGAGGGCGATGTCGGTGTCAGCCAGAGGTCCCCCCAGGAACCGCACAGGGGTGCTCTCCACCGTTACGACCGGACCAGAGGGCACCTACAAAAGCCAAAGGCAAATATCTGAGAGCCCGTTTATAACGTTTTTCAATAAGAGAAACATCCACTCATCCTCCAGTTCACTCCGGAAAAGACACAAAATGTGCGCTCAGTGGCAGGGAGCAGCAGGGCACACCGGAAAGGCGAGGGCATCTGGCATGGACAGTCCTGCTAGGCAAAGGACACAGTAGAAATTTGAGTAGCAAAAAGAAGAAAAAAATGAGATGAAAACCCCACACAAATAACGTTTCGGGAACCTAAATTCAATGACTACTGAGAAAGAGGTAAAGAGCAAAGTAAGCTTACCGTCGTGTTAAGGCCTTTAATATCTGTCTGGTGAAATACCGCATTCTGTGGTCGTTCACTGTGTCTGGAGGCTTCTATAGCTTTTTCCTGAAGCCTCTTGGCTTTCTGAATATTTTTAAATTAGAAAGAAAAGCGTATCAGTTGCTGGTAGAGCGTTCGTTATGAGCATGTAATGAAGATACAAAGTGCAGTTAACTGTGCCTCACTTATGCTCTGGCTGTTTATCGGGTAGCCTGGAACCTGCATTGACTCATTCTGGCTAAAAAGGCAATTTAGTTAAGTAGATTGGTAAGTTACACTCTTTGTGTATTGAGGAAGATACCAGTCACCTAAAGATTTCTAGAGGTGCTGGTCATATACGTCCCAGGAATAAAGCAGCTTTTGAGGAAATTACATTTAATTCCCAGCACAAAAGCTAATAAGCCACTAAATGTCTATCAAGTGATGCATGTTTCAAAATATGCTGCATATATGAAATACTAATTTGGTACACTTAAGTGTTTCAAGCATTTAGAATTATATAAATGATACTCATCTTTGCGGTTGATTTGAGTTCAATGTATGAGACATTACAGAGGTGAAACAGGAAGTAGTATGGTCCCGAGGGAGGAGGCTGGTTTTGCATTAATTATCCCTTTAAAATACAGGCAACTATGAAGATAATTTGCAAGTAAGGCTGGGAAGAACTTTGACTGAAAAGGGCCATCCTCGCTACTATTAGTGAGCTTATTCTCAGCTTTGACTTTCCTCTCTTAATATGGTTCCACTACTTTCA